CGCATCTGACTTTGCCATAGGCAGCGCTCTGTTACAGACAGATTCTGATGGACGGGAACGCGTCATTGTGTTTGATTACCGGTAGCTGAAGGCTGCAGAAAAGAACTACCAAGTTCATGACAAAGAGCTACTTGCAATGAAGTATGCTCTCGTCAAATTCAGAGCTCATCTGCTTGGATCTAAGCCGTTTTTGATCTATACAGATCATGCGTCATTACGCACTGCGACTCAGTTGCCTCACCTCTCTCAGAGAATGGCTCGTTGGCTTTCCTTCTTTGCCGAATACAACTTCGAGGTGAAGTATAAGCCGAACAAGCAGAATGCTTTGGCTGATGCGTTGTCCCGCAGGCCTGACTATGAGCTTGCTCATGTTACGACTCTGTCTTCGTCGGTCAATGACCTAATCCGTACGGCATATGCCAAGGATGAACATTGTGTAGCTCTTCTACGTGCTTTAGGGAGCGAGGAGTTTAAGGACTCGGACATCGAATTGTCGGCACGGTTACGTGCGAGGTTACATCGATATTCTATCGATCAGGGCCTGTTGTGCTATAGCACGGATGTGGAGGATATTCCTCGCATCGTTGTCCCTCATGATGAGGAGTTGAAGTATCGGATCCTCTATGAGGCACATGGTACTGCGTTGAGTGGTCATCTGGGTCGTGAAAAGACCTATGGCTTAGTTAGCCAATGCCATTGGGGGCCCAAACTATACAAATGGGTGAGCACATATGTGCGTACGTGTGAAACGTGTCAACGGGTAAAACCCTCACTACACGCGGCAACGCCGCTGGCTAGTTTGCCTGTACCCAAAGGGTGTTGGGAGTCCGTCAGCATGGACTTCCTGTTCGGATTACCGAAGGATTCGTATGGAAATACGCGTATTGTGGTCTTTGTTGACCGTTTGATCAAGATGGCTCATTTAGCGGCGGTGCCAGATACCATTGATGGTGAAGGTGCAGCTACGCTGTTTATTGATCGGGTGTTTCGACAACATGGTTTGCCACTGGCAATTATCTCTGATAGAGATCCTCGCTTCACTGGGAATATTTGGAATTCCATCTTCAAGGTGCTTGGCACACGTTTGGACATGTCCACAGCGGATCATCCGCAGACCGATGGTCAAACCGAGCGCGTGAATCGCGTCATCGGTGACATCTTGCGCAGTGTTTGCGCTGAAACGCCTTAGCGTTGGAGCTCGATGCTCCCTGTTGTTGGGTTTGCGTTGAACAACGCCGTGCATGCCTCTACAGGCTTTACTCCGTTTTACGTGAACGGTCTCACACACCCTCGCGTTCCGTTAACGCTACCACTGCGTGGTTCAGGGCTTGGTGGGGGAGGAGTTGCCGACCGGCTTGCTGATATCAGCCCTGCTACTGTTCAAAAACAGGTAAGCGAGTTTCTCGCAACGCGATTGAATGTGTTACGACCCGTGCGTGATGCACTGGCTGATAGCCAAGATAAATAGAAGGAACAAGAAGATGCTAAAGGCAGAGGTTGTATTGAAAGTTATAAGGTCGGAGACCAAGTTCTACTCAGTGCTAAAAACCTACCTACGAATGTAGTGTCTGCCGTCTTCAAGACAAAGTTGCGTCCGCGCTTCATCGAACCATTCACGGTCGTCTCCAAGAAGGGACTTGCGTATACGCTCAACCTTCCGCGCAAACTGCGCACACACCCTGTGTTCTACGTTGGTTTGCTTAAGCCGTATCGGGACCCGTCCCACGTGAACTTGGAGGCGCTTTCGCCGGGTAGGTTGTCCTTGCCATCGGTTGCTGAATCCGTATCAGGAGGTCAAGCTGAGCCTGCATCCGGGCTTGGCCCAACTCCAACGCCTGGACACGGGCTCGCAACGCGTCAAACGCACTCTGGGTCTTACCCAATGTCTCACGGAGACCACTCATCTCGAGAAGAATCTTCTCATGCTCCTCCTTCGATATACCGACCACCTCCGACGCTGCTCGATGAGCAAGGGAACCGCCAGTTCCATGTGGAGCGACTCCTGAAACGACGTCGTCGTCAGAATCAATACCAGTATCTGGTGAAGTGGAGAGGGTACCCGGAGTCGGAGAACTCGTGGGAGTTTGAGTCACCCTTTCGGCAGGACTGCGCATACGCCGTTGATGTTTTTGAACATCGTGGCAGGGGTCATCCCTCGACCGAGAGCGCTTCTCACCAATAGTGGTGGAGGCAGGTGGGTAGTTGGGTCCCGCTTGATCAACACCCACGCCAGTCGGCACAGCCGGAGCATAGCGTGTGCGAGTTCGCAACTGGCTTCTGGCCTTAAGCTTGGCGTAATCATACCGAAGCTTTCGTTCTAGACGAACGTCTGCCACATCGGCACTTGCTCTGAGAGCTAACACGCTGCTGAGTTGTCGTTTACGATGCACCCAGCAAACAAAAGCGTTATCTTCTTCCTCCTGAGATTCGCATGCTAATAAAAGGATGGGTATACCCTTCATCGGTGGAACCGGTTCACCCCGTGCTTGCGTGTCAAGTCGCAACTTGTATTGACTTTGAGTCGTCAAGTGGGGTTGCAGGTACCTCTCGCAAAGTACTTGGCGACTCGCAATCTCATCAGAGGATGATTGCTCAGCGCCGATGGCCCACGTTGCCAGAGAACGACCTGTCGTTTGGCGTATACGCTCTTCCAAACCGAGTGGAGTGACCAGATGGCCACGACGTCCTTCAAGGGTTGCAGCAAGCTACATACGGCGCTGAGCGCTCTCCTCGTGGTGGAGTACTAGTTGTTGTTGCTCATCGAGCGGATTGGTGATGATGGCATCGCCCACGATAAGTGTTTGATGCGGCGCCGATGGCGAGTTGGCTTCGCCATGCTCGGCAAATGGGTTTGGTGCAGTATGTGGCCGTGCCTCTTGCACTGGTGAGTCGAACATTGTCCTCTAGTCATAATGGATATCGGTATCGCTACCATAATCCACATCCACATCGATGTCCGAGGTAAGACGAGAGAGTCGAGGACTCATGGGGTGGCGATGCCATGGTGTTTTGTGTTTTGCCAACCGTAAGATTGGAGCGCACACACACCGTCCTCTTCGAGGAACGACTTCGATTGACGTTTTGGGGTAACGTCAGTCTGGTGAGGGAGGGTGTAACGGGGTTACACGTCGGCTGGTAGTCGACAATAGGTGTGGTACACACAAGGGATGGGATCCCTTTTTAGTAATATTAGAACACAGTATTAATTGTTGAAGACTGATGTCTGTCAACCATTGATTACGAGATCGTTTGAGCGGTTTTAATTAGGACATTAGCGAGTAGATTAATAACATTGTTCTAAGGTGTTCTTTAAGGTTATAAGAGGAAACAAAATTTAGTTCCCTATTTAGTCTGAAAGACACAATCCTCTCTGAGGCGTCTTGTGGTCGTGAAGGAGACTAGCAACGCCTTACTAAGGTAGCTACTCCTCTTGCACATTGTGCATTGAATCTCTGAACCGTTAGGCTCTCCTGGAACAGGAACCGTTAGCTCTCAAAGCTGTTGACTCTCTGAGTCGGGTTCTTTGAACTAAACTTTAGCTCTCTGAGCTGTTGACTCTCTGAGTCAGATAATTTGAACCAAACTTGCTCGTGGACCGTTAAGTCTTCCTCTGACCTAAGGAGCTGTGTAGCACCGCTACACTTTGGGTGAATATGACCAGTAAGGTCGAATAAGAACGTAAATGTGTTATGAACCAATGGGCTGCAATAGCATTCATGCGATTTACTCCAGCCATCTCGGATGACACAGTCCTGGCTCGAAAACATTACCAGCAGTATAGGTTCAGCGTAGGAAAGTACGCGGCGGTTACCGTAGCTCGACTCCGCTCACTGTGTGAAGCGCAGAAAACGCGCTACACGAGAATTAGACTTCGGGATAGAACGGATGAGGAATGGGAAATAATTTAGGGACTGGCGGAGGGTCACACCGTGAGCCGTTCGTGCTCACCCTGTATAAAGAAGGTTTTACATGCAAAAGATCGATTGCGACTCCAGACAACCATTCAGATACAAGTCGAAGGAGAGATATCCTTTCCATTGGCTGGGAAAGGAACAATTCCATCCAGTCGACATCATCCCAGGCACTGAAGGAAAAAAAGCTGCTGGCGGCCGAAGACTTGAAGGTGACTCTACAGGCATTGCACACCATGCTCAGTCAGGAGAATACAATCTGGTACAACACGGTTCAGAACCCAACAAACATTCACTTTTTTCAGCGAGCTACGGCGAAGAAATGTTAGCACACACTCGTACCGTTCCGGCGGAGGATCTACCTCCTACACAATTGGCATGACACTACTTCTAGTTCAGTGTGGGATCGCCAAGTCAGAGCCGATGGTACACACCTCACGATGCATATGTAGTATGTTATTCAACTCTACAATGTTACGCGCTACCTGAATATTGGCCGCTTTACAGCATTCGTGACGGTCCACATTAGTCCTGAATTTGATTGGGAACCTTTGGATACATGTACACCGGAATCAAAGAAATTGACAATGTGGCGACTGACGATTCAATTAGTGCGCTGCCCCTATTTCCCACGTGATGTGGTGCGCCTTCTTTGGTTTGAAACTGTTGTTGTTTTAAAACACCCTCAAATGGAAAAGCGGCTGCAATGATTGTGGTGCGGGAACATCGGCCATACTATGGCGAGGTGTGGATTTTTAACGGAGCAGCTGCGCGGTCCAGGAAATATTGTGGCTTCCAAGGAGTAGGTGTCGCAGCAAGAGGATCTAGCTGTTTCTTTCCGTAGCGTTGCCGAGATGCGCGAAATAGAGGCCCAGCGTATACGCCTTCAAGATCAAGCAGAAAGGGTTTCTGCACAGGCAGTCCAACCTCTTTTATTGATGAGCCCACGCTTGCCGTGGACCGGGTCCATTCTGACGGTCGAGCTGGTCGTAACGTGGCCGCGTCGGGAGATGATGGTCTTTGAACCGCCCACCCTGCACATACTAGACAAACACCACTTACGCAGCCTACAACTAAGCCTAAGACACAATGGGTGACAGTCTCTGCAGTATGGGGGTTGGAAGGCAAATTGCAAAGAAGATATTATGTAGCCGGCGTGCGATTTTGTCATCGCGGTATGCCGTGCTTGCCAAACCAAATGAGGCCGACGACGAAGAAGACGAGGCGGGTGTTTCTGCACCTTTATCTGCACTCGATGAATCATCTACGAGCCTTTCAGGAGCGTTCGCGGCCGAACGCCACTCTGAAACGGTCACTGACTTTGCGGTCCAGCTTCGGCTGATAAAGAAAATGCCACCGAAGCTCCCGCTGATGCCTCAATTGGTGGCGCTTAAACCGAAGAAACGGACCGAGCTTCTGAAGAGTATTAGCCAAGTAGAAGATTACTGTGGTTCTCGTGTATTGCCGAGGCTGCCAGATGAAGTTAATCTGGGGCCCGAACTGTACGATATTATCCAACAGCAGTTGGATATTCTGCCTTTTAAGACGCCGGCGAACGGTAATTGTATGACCAGGGCATTGGCCCAGGCTCTACTAAAATAGAGCTGCGACACAGAGATGAGGTCCTTTTCCCGGCTCCATCTAGCTTAAAACAGGGCATCCTTGTAACGGGGTTTACCCGTTACATAAAAATTGGTACGAAGTATCAATTATTGAATATTATCTTATTTTAATAATATTTAAATAACATCACTCGAAATAAGTGATGTTGCCGGAATATTACCTGTAAAGGTAAAATCGTGGAGGGGTCCACTTCATGGTTGATGTACCGTCTACATCAACCAACTTTACCACTAATCGCTGCTGGACGCGCGCAACGGGTGGTGAGCAAGGGACCCACATAAGAGAAGGAAGTTTTATATAGTTAGAGTAAGTCAAAGATGAATTATTAACGTAATAACTATATTAAATAAACAGTTCTACTTTCCCCTCAAGACAGAGCTTTCGGGTTCTGTTATGTCTATCACTTCCTCAGTTGCCCTGTGTACGCCTGACGGGCACACGTCACCCTTGCGTTAAGTCCTCGCAAGGGGTGTGCCCCGTTACAATCAAATACACGGGACTGATACACATGATGGATCAATGCAGCCACGAGACCCAGGAGACCGCTTTAATGAAGGTTAACAGAAGATGGATGTAAATGCCGAGCAGCAAATCCACCAAACAAATTTCAATGGCATCTCGGAAAATACGCGTCCCGTACCAAGGACCTGACTACAAAGGTGGAACAATACTATTGGGGCGGCAGTGAGACGCTGACAATGGCAGCGAACTTCCTTCAGCAAAACATCTAAGTTTTTTGTCTCACGACTGATGGGTCCCAGCGTTGGCACTGTGTGTTGTATCGGACAAGTTTTATGACCAAGGCAAGTTGGGTAATTGATACGGGATAGCAGCCTATTCTCACCGTTTAAGAGTGTGTTAAGAAGATAAGGGAAGACAAAGGTGGTAGGTCAAGCCCACCACCTTTGACCACTTAAGTACGAGGATGGCCACTACTCCGCCTTTGTCCACCGGCTGCTTACTATGGATAAGGCTACGGGGGATGAGCGCAACGTCAGACGTGGTGGTCAACTCGGTGTAGACGTGAGTGATAGATCCAGTGAATGAGATGGGGGAATGAAGGAAGCAGCGGCGCCGTTTAAGAAGACTGGCCAATATAAAGTATTAGAACGTGATGGGGGCGTTCAAACCACGATTTTCGCCCCTCAGTCACCACTTCAGCAGTCGCTTGTAAAAAATACCTCAGCCAGCTCTGACCCGGCGGCTGGTAGGTGTGTTATCGGGGGTTCCACAGATATAGCGCTGCGGAAGTTTCCACGAGCATTTCGGTCGAGCGTTGCTACAAAGAGGTCTCACGTCATGACACCAGATGAGCGAGAAAAGAAGGGCGTGATTGTTTGGAGCAAACACGATGTTCTGGTGTTAAAAATAGGCAGAAGCAACAACGACAGGTTGCTACTCGAGGCAGGTATGGGTACGGTATTGCAACTCGAGAGCATCAAGCAGTGGCAGCATTTGTGGCTAGATTTAGCATCGGAATGGCCAAAGACGTCAAAAATTGATTTTCCCACAGTATACAGTTCGCCTGTGCAGTGGGTTCAAGCGGTGAAAGTGGAAGAGAGGCTCCTTCTCCGGTTGATTCAGCCTTTCCCGCATAAAAGTGCATTGTTGAAGATCTTGAGTGATGAAACCCATTATGACATGGACCGAGCCCTGGCGACAAGAATGTATGTACTTCTGTTTAATGGCATACCGCGGCCGTAAAAAGATCGGGGTATTAGGATCAAGCTTGAAGACTGGAAAGGGCGGACGTCACGACACTCAGCGGGTTCCGTGCTGTCTCCTTTCATTGAAAGTAGCGATGACTGGTACCGTTTACGAGACAGAGTTATGCTAGCGATGAATTATTACGCCGTTGCTGTAACGGGGCACTGTTGACTACGTACTGGTTGACCAGTACGGAGTATACTTTCACTGACAATAGTGATCGACAGTGCCCTGCTAGGTGTTGAAGGAACAGAGAGGAAGGAAAGGAGACTAAGTAGTCAGACTAGTCTCTGGCAAAAGTAAAACTGTATTAATATAATTAAGTCCTATAACTCCTTGAATCTCTCTGTTGTCCTGACTTAATTGTACTAATGTAACTAAATGTATGTATGACGTCTACTCACCACCCATTGCACGCGTCTAGCAGCGATTGGTGGGTTGATATCATCACGATATCAACCAATGAGTAGACCCTTCGGTCATCTCAACAATATCACCATGTCTGTGATATTGTTAGAAGAATATTCGAAGTAATATTATTTATTGTCAGATTGTTTTAGTGACAACCTCATGTAACGGGCTACTCCGTTACAATTGCGATATGAATCACAAGATGCAGTTAGCGCGTCACATTTATTGCGTGTTGATCTACCACGACGAAAATAAAGCACTAACAGGCAGCGAAGAGGAGCCCGATAATGGAGTCACGACTCGGTCGTGACGGTATTTTGCTTGGCTGAAGAGTACTAATACGTATCGGGCGGCATGCGCAGCCATGGCCGCCTCAGCAGACTAGACGATATTAGAAACGTTTTATGAGCAAGCAATCACCCAGATCGTCCTCAGCGGACTCTACGCTACGAAGAGCAGCCAGCACCGTCGGTGCCAGGCTAACCGGTAGATACTGCTCGCTAGTCTCCCATCGGGCGTTGATGAAATGGCACAAACTATCGCCTAAAACGCTGTAATATGATTTAAAAGGTCACACATGACGTAATTTGTAGAAGTAAGCGGGTGGTATTTGTCGACACACAGATTTTCCGCGGTTTTAAAGACCAGACTTGTGACCGGTGGATGTAGGCATGGAAAAGAGGCCCTACCAACAGTATATCCATTGTGCTCTGCTTATAAGAAACACCTGTTGTAATCGTATACTTGAGGAAAAGATCCGATATGATTGGAGGCGGCGGTGGGGGTACACCTCAAGTTTTTACGAGACCTCTCTTTCGTTCTGGAGTGTAGGACAAGGAAAAACCGGAGGGGTATCTTCCTTACTAGATCCTAGTCGTGCTTCAGGTGCAACTCCTTGGCATTCAGAACTATGGACAGAATGCGTCGCTGTTTTGATGATAGCTGGGGTCTTCTGAGTTAATATCTATGCCCCTAATACCCCCCGTAAGCATGAATTTTTCTCTCATGACTGATGCACTAGCTCTGGCCGTCATGCAGAGTAACCCTGACGGGCGACTTTAATTCTGTTCAAAGTCCTGTATAGGATCGGACCGGAGGTCGCAGGTCGGGGCGCTCGGAAAGTGCAGCACTTGCTGACCTCATCACCAGGTTGGGATTCGCCGATGCGCGCATTCTAGCGGCACCGCTTGATGGCGAGGAAACCCCCGAACTAAACGAATATTTTACTTACTGGACAAAGTCCACAGCAAGCAAAATTGATTGGTTTTACGTACCGCAACAGTGGACATCGGGGGTGCAATGAGTTGAACTTTCAGCCCCACCAGTTAAATCTGATCATCATTAGGTTTCGCTCCTATTCACGAAAAATTTGTGGAATATTGCTATCACTACAAGAGACGCGTGGTTACTTATCCCATCAGATCTTTTTAAGCGACGAGGGTCAAGGCGGATATATTGGCGCCGATGATCAATCAGGCAGTGGGACGATCAGTCACAGCGAGTACCTGGTATCGTAATATAACCAAGTGCGTTGCGGCAACTCAGACCATCAGGAAGCAACATAAACAGCGTAGTACACGGTATGCTAAAACATTACAAGCTCAAGCGCGTGCCGGTCTCCATTTTAGGAAGCAGCTTATACAATCTAATCAGGACTCATTACGAGCTAAATATATAATTGCGGCGAAGAATCGATTGTTCGGACGACTGACCGACTGCGGTGGAATTTTAAGCGGGTCTCCGACTGAGAAGCGGATTAAACGGTAACGGGCATATGAAATTTTCATAGGGTACCATTTTCCCGTCAGGTCTGTACTGCTGACCGCTTTGCTACGGAATGGAAGCCTATACTTGGGTGCAGTCATAACACAATCCCAACGAGCTCACTGGACCACGCATTTACGGCGTTTGTAACGATATCAACGGATCGACACATGACTCAATCGGACAATTATCACCTGGTCAAACCAATTTAATTACCTGGGATGATCGCTGCTTTTAATGGTCTTAGCAGACACAAAGCGGCGGGGCCGGATGGGCCTAATAATGATCTGCACATCGAACTCCAAGCTCTGTTAGCACCAAGCATGGTAACGATTGGTAACGAACTTCTGGCGGGTAAAGATCCACCCGTTTGATTTTTGGATGGACTTATTATCCCAATTCGTAAGAAAGGTGACTTCACCGATGCCATGGACTACCGGCCGATATCGTCGCTACAAACAGGGTATAATCTCTTTTAAAGCCTTGGCAACACGACTGCAACGCGCTCTGACGAAATCGATAGGCGATACACAGAAAGGATTCGTGCATGACCGCCACATGATGAAAACAGTGATGATGATGTTGGCAGTCTTAGCTACTGCTTAAAATGAACAAGATATCACCGCGCAGAATAGCCGTGTCATTTTATTATAGGATTTCCGAAAGGCTTACGACACGGTCGCTCGCAATTTTCTATTTCTCGTTCTGGACCGCTTTGAGTTCTCGACGGCCTTCGTTTCGATGATCCGCAAACTTCGTGACAAAACGACAGCACGATACCTTGCAATGGTCAATTATATGAGCCCATGGAAGTCAACACGGGAATTCGTCAGGGCTTCCCTCTCGCGCCATTATTATTTATATTATCTATAGACGTGTTGGCGCTAGCGATTACAGATGATATCGGCCTTTTGGGAGTAATGGTGTCCGGGTCGACTGCAGGGTGTCATACGTTTCAGCGTTTGTGGATGATTCGACGGTCTTCCTACAGGAAGTCCGACATCTTCCACGAGTGCTTGACCTCGTGGCTACTTTTGGAAAGTTGTCAGGTGTTAGAGTGCAGTCATCAAAAGTCAAGTGATTTTCTTGAATACGAC